TATAAATTTAGTGCTTCTAGTTAGAGCAGTTAGCTGCTTTACACTTATAGTTTTCTACTAAGTAATAAAATGTTAAATAATCTTCTTTTCTTACTACTTTTTATTAAAAATAATAAAATTTATAGTTATTTTTGTTTTTATAGTCTAGCTATTTTTCCTATTTATAAAAAGAGGCTGTTTAATAAGTGTAGCAGTTTATAGTTTTGCAAGCTAAGGCTGTCCCTTTGTCAGATTGAAGCACTGTTTCTAGGCTTCCTGAGATGAATGATGGGTTTGGATGTGATGTATGGGATGATGAATGATTGTATTGATTTATTGATCTTTTCTTGTGTGTTCTGCTCGTGTTGCTCGGCCTTGTTTTTCCGGTCCGAGTCCCTCGCGCACTAGCCCTATACGCGACCAGCTTGCAAAATGCTGCAATTTGCTGCAATTTGCTGCAAAATGCTGTAATTTGCTGCAAAATGCTGCAATTTGCTGCAACATGCTGCAAAATGCTGCAATTTGCAGCAACATACTGTTCGAGCTTATTGCTCGTACTATGTAACAGCTTTCGTCAAGCGTTCCTCCTGTCTTGACAGTAGGTGCGCATATCTGACACCCTTACTATAGGCATCTGTTGTAGTTCTTTTTCTATATAGGCTACTAGCCTGCTTAATGCTTGTTGTTTTAGTGTCTAGTGCAATACTGTTACATACACTAGTACTAAGGGTATAGACAATTATTAGGTCTATATAAGGTGTTAAGAGGGCTCTTCTAAGTCTACTAAGGGTATTTCTGTGTTTGTACTACCTGTACAGGGTGTCCTTTCTACTAGCAGTTGTTAGTGCTGTAGGCGTTGCTTCTATAAATTATGCACTAACTATAGTTTTATTATACTATAAAAGCCTTTTTACTAATTATAAGGCTTAGAAGCAGTGTCTTAGGTTTTTTAAGTACTAGCTTTAGGACTTTAAACTTAGTAGGTCTACCTAGTTCTTCTAGTTTCTAGTCTTAGATCTTAGTAAAGAACTGCTATTATTTTTTATTATCTATAATATTATATTTAACTTTAGCTATCTGCTGTATTATATTAAACATAAGGTAATTATTACTAATGTTTATCTAGTAGAGCATAACTATGCATTTATTAGAGTAGTTATGTTATAGACTGCACTTTTAGCATTTGTATTTCTAGAACTGTCTAAAAAGCTTTTTTACTAAGGTGCTAAAGGTCTAGTTATAAAAAGAGAACTATTCCTCTCTTTTCTAAATATTTATAATGTATTCTTAGATCTAAGTCTTTTCTTTATACTTTTTAAAAATTATAAGGTCCTACAACACCTTCTTTAAGCTGCTAAAGCTTTAAATAACTACTTTTTAATACAATTTAAAGCAGTTTTTTAAAGAATAGTTTTTTTTACATTACTAGTAAAGTCTGTTGTTTAATCTTTCTAATATTTTTTTTTCTATTAGGCTGTATTTAGTAGTAATAGCTTTTACTATTATAGTAGTATTTTTATTCTCCCTCTTCTAAAAGTCTAGGCAGTTTTAGTAGCAATGTTCTACTTTTTTACAGTTTAGGTAGGCCTTATCCTTTAACTACTTTTGTTATTCCTTAGTTAAGGGCAGCCTATTACGTTCTAGAACTTAGTTTTTTTTTAAAGAGAAGCTCTATGTATGCTTTACATAACTAAGGTCTATTAGTTTTTTATTATACTAAGGGGACTTTTTTTTTCTAGAAATAAACTCTAGTTTCTAAGAAGTTTTTTTTACTTTTTTTTTTTTTACACTTTTATAGTAATTATTATAGGTTATTACTTACATAATAAAGTTTTTAAGAGTAGTTAGTTTATTATTATGTATAAATTTATCTTTTATTACATTACTTAGCCTGTTATAGAACATGTAACAGAGGGCTTTTTAGTCTATCTATCTATAGATAGCTAGCTGTTCTCTAAAGCATGCTGCATAGTTTTAGGCTATGCTATTGCCTTGTTTTAGAGTGTTTAGCTTATTAGCTATAATTTTTTGTTTATTTATAGTCTTATAAATAGCTGTTAAAGTGTTTTTAAAGGCTTTAATGCTACTACACACTTCTTTTATTTTAAAAGTAAGTGTTGTTGTAACGATTCTCGTTCCATCTCGGGTCGTCCGGAACCTATCCGAAGGGTCCCCGTATCGGCTCCGACCCTGACTCGATTCTCATGAATCGTCAGGTCGCCCGGAACCTCCGGAAGGCCCCCGTATCGGCCCCGACCCCGACCTGGCCCCGACCCCTGCTGTTACCCCTATTCCCTCATGTATTTAGTCGCACCTCGCCCCCGTAGCTAGCTCAGTAGTTTTCTGATATCCTTTCGTACAAGGCCTATAGGTGTCAATGGCATTCCCAGGTTCTGAGTCCCCACGCACTCCCATATGCCTCTGAGTGGATTCCCACCGCATTCGGACCCATTGTCTTGCCTGCGCCGTTACAGGTTAAGAGAGAGGTGGTTGAAGTTTTGACAGCTTCGCGTAGAACCGTGCATTACGCGAGGCCGTGCATTACACGCTAAAACACAGTAAACCACGAGCGCCCCCGAAAGCTTTAGGGGACTCTGGCGCCCATTGGCGGGTACCTTCGCTAATTTAGCGGTCTACCCCCTAAAAGGTGAAGGGGGTAACTGTGCCTATACTATGATGATGTCTTTATTACGCCCGGCTCTAGCCTAGAGGGCACTAGTGTGTTATTACCTAAGCGCTTCCTTAGTAATAGCTTAACTCCTTGTAGCCCTTACATGCCTCCTGTTCTGCTATCTAGCGTAGTTATTACATATCCCCTAATTATAATTTGTAGTAAGCGTTTTTAAAGTCTTTTCTTTAAGTGTTTAAAGTTCTTTTATTAGCAAGTAAAGCAAAGCCTGCTGTTATATAGAGTTAGTATTAAGCATCTCTTTTCTACTATTGTCTTTATAGTTCTAGGTTCCTATCTTCTTTTTTACTCTAAGTAGCCTGTTGCTATTGTGTACCTAACTGTTATTTTTACTATGTTAATGTCTAGCAACTATTCTGCTAGGTCTACTAGTGCTTTTCTCTCTAGAAAGAAGAAAAGGTTTTCTTTTTTAGTCTTTATTTACTAAAGCATTTATATTTAAAGTGTGTCCTATCTTTAGCATTAAAAAAAGAAGTGCTAAATAGTTTCTTTTACCTAACTACATATGCACATGTTTAAGTCTACAGCTTCTATTTAGTTTAGGTATGTGTTTAGCTGTGTTATCTTAGTTTATAATTATGCTAGTATTTTTGCTTCTTGCTAGGTTAGAGTGTTATAGAGCTTCTTAGTGTGTTTCTTTAGTAAAGCTATGTCTACCTTACACAAGTATCTCTTTACTCTTATTAGTAAGTTTTTTCTCTGTCCCTAGTTTCTTACTATAGTCCTAGTTACTATTAACCTTACTTAGTAAAAAAGTCTAGTTAGCACACTACTGTCTACTATAGCTTTTCTTACTACTTTCTTAGCCTTTTTTACTAAATTGTTGCTTCCTGCTAGGCACTATACTATATGTACTAAGCACTGCCTTTCTTTTAGTGCCTAAGTTATGTTGTAGATCTGTTTAATACTAGCTTAGCTAGACTAATCCTGTAGTTAGTGTATTGCCTGTATAGCTGCTTAGCTGCTAGTAAGAATAATAACCTAGTCTGCTGTCTAGCATGTTAGGAGGGAGGTCAGCGCTGCCGCTATTGCTGCCAGCTCTGCTGTGTAGGGGTTTTGCTCTGTCCTAGGTTCTAAGGTGAAAGATAAGGTAGCAGCTTAAGTAGGCGCTCCCCTCTGCGTGTTGTCTATCGCCCCTCCCATCTCTACTATACTAAGCTAGATAGATGCGCTTGTTGTAATTCTAATACTATTACACTAGTTAGCTAGTGTTATAGCCTTTACTTAGTCTAGTTTAATTATTACTAAAATGTAATAGTCCTATAGCTGCACACTATACAGATTAATTATTTTTATTTAGTTAGTATTAAGCTTCTCTAGCTATTCTATAATCTTCTGTAGCAGTAATTAAAACTGTTAAAAGCTTATAATATAGAATTTTAACATAGAGTTTATTTTTAGCAGTGTGTAGACATTAATCTACATCTTAATAGCCCTTACTGTGCGGCGTTTATGCACTGTCTGTAGACTTGCTTTTGCTTCTGCTACAGCTGCAGTAACTATCTAGAAGTAGCCTGTTACAGCTTAAGCTTCTATTTTCTGTATTCTATTTATTACTTCTATTAAAATTATGCTGCACGTGTGACGGTGCTGCTTGTCAAGCTCCGCTGCTAGTCACATGATCTCGCTAAG